AGCTGGGACTACAGGCGCCCGCCACCTCGCCCGGCTAGTTTTTTGTATTTTTTAGTAGAGACAGGGTTTCACTTTGTTAGCCAGGATGGTCTCGATCTCCTGACCTCATGATCCGCCCGTCTCGGCCTCCCAAAGTGCTGGGACCGCGCCCGGCCCATATGATTGTTAAAATCAAATTTGGTAACAGAAATTCTGAAGCACTGAAGCATAACTGGGTACAGCAATGCCACTTCATTCTTCTCCCTGTAACATTTCTCGCATGCAATCCAGTGGTGGTAGATATCTTACTTCAAAAGCATATAAAGTATGCTTTCAATATAAAAACAGTGGCATTTGGGGATGCTATCAAAACAGACTTGAGTGATACAGCTAAGGTCCCCCTGCCTGAACTGGAATTCCCAGCATAGATTAATTTGACATTTTATGTTAGAAGGAAATCATCCATCCATCCAATTTACCAATATGAATGATGTGTGGCAGTGTCCAGAGTGCTCTTATTAGACATAATTTTCCAACTTGTCAAACTAAATTATAATTTTACTTACCAAGAGAAGCCCATGAAGATATAAATTTATGATGAGGTACCAAAAGTACAGGGTCTACCTTTCTTTTTTTTTTTTTTTTTTGAGACGGAGTCTCGCTGTCGCCCAGGCTGGAGTGCAGTGGCAGGATCTCAGCTCACTGCAAGCTCCGCCTCCCGGGTTCCCGCCACTCTCCTGCCTCAGCCTCCCGAGTAGCTGGGACTACAGGCGCCCGCCACCACGCCCGGCTAGTTTTCTGTATTTTTTAGTAGAGACGGGGTTTCACCGTGTTAGCCAGGATGGTCTCGATCTCCTGACCTCGTGATCCGCCTGTCTCGGCCTCCCAAAGTGCTGGGATTACAGGCTTGAGCCACCGCGCCCGGCCGGGTCTACGTTTCTATTCCATGAAACTTAAACTCTGTCTAGTTTTCCATAGTTTAAAAAAGTCCAAGCTCCTAGCAACCGGAAAGAAAACTGGCTTGAGTATTCATTAAAATTTCATGGTTATTACTTACTCCATTACTTGAGGCTGTCCTACAGAAAACTATAAGAGGAAGGAAAGTGTACTGGATGATTTGAAACTCCAGTGATTCAGGAGAAAGTTGGATACAAGGGGGAAAAACCCACGTGTTTTTGATAATCAAATCGAACATCACAGTTAAACATATGGTTTTATTTGCCTGTTTCTATTTTAATGCTGCATTTAAGGTATAACCTCTGAGCTGTTTGATGGCATTTTAAAGTTCATGCAAATCAATATGATCCTTTACAATCTCTCTTTCCACATCCAAGATATTAAAGTTGGGCACTGTGACCTTTATGAGCATTTCAAGGGTTTAGTCCTGTCCATGCAGTGGAGTGAGAAGCAACCTGTCATTTGCTTTTTCA